CACAGCGGCCTAGCCAGCATCGCCTGCGCCATGGAGGCCCACAGCAAATATTGGAGCGGGCTGCGGGGGGGTGAGTGTGAGACCCCCCCAAAAAGAAACCCCCAAAAGCCAGGAGGGAAACCCCAAACCCACGAGAAATACAGAGAGGGGCCCCAAAACCTTTGGGATCGCTTTGATACTCCCTAAACCCACGGGGGGTTCACTAAGATCCCCTCCAAAACACCCCACTGAAAGGCTTCGAGGATTCCCGCAGGCCGCGCTGCTAAGGTGGCGCATCGGTTGCTAGGGCGGCCATGTTGGTTGCTAGGGCGGCCATGTTGGTTGCTGGGGTGGCCATGTTGGTTTTTAAGGCAGCCATGCTGGTTGTTAGGGCAGCCATGTTGGTTGCTAGGGCGGCCATGTTGGTTTTTAAGGCGGCCATGTTGGTTGCTAGGGCGGCCATGTTGGTTTTTAAGGCGGCCATGCTGGTTGCTAGGGTAGCCATGTTGGTTGTTAGGGTGGCCATGTTGGTTTTAAGGCGGCCATGTTGGTTGTTAGGGTGGTCATGTTGGTTTTTAAGGCGGCCATGTTGGTTGCTGGGGCGGCCATATTGGTTGCTGGGGCGGCCATATTGGTTGCTGGGGCAGCCATGCTGGTTGCTAGGGCGGCCATATTGGTTGCTAGGGCGGCCATATTGGTTGCTTGGGCGGCCATGTTGGCTTTTAAGGCGGCCATGTTGTCTGCTAGGGCGGCCATATTAGTCACTAGGGCGGCCATGTTGGTTGCTAAGGCGGCCATATTAGTCGCTAGGGCGGCCATGTTGGTTGCTAGGGCGGCCATATTGGTTGCTAGGGTGGCCATGTTGGTTGCTAAGGCGGCCATATTAGTCGCTAGGGCGGCCATGTTGGTTGCTAAGCAACGCACCCCACGCCACCTCGGCGCCATCTTGGATCCTTTCTGCTCCTCTACGCCTCTTTGAGGACCCCCCAGACCTCCTTGGATCCCCCAGAAAGGGGCAGAGCTTTTGTGTCCCTCACTGAAGCCCCCTCCCCACACAGAGCCGGAGGTGGAGGACGAGCCAGAGGAAGAGGAGGAGGGTGAGGAAGCGCGGAAGGATGAAGAACTGGGGGGCGATGATGAGGAGGCGGAGCCCCCCATGGACCCCCCCCAGGTCCTGGACGGACCCCGTCCCCGTCCCACTGCCCGCACGGCGCTGGTGTTCGACGAGAGGATGGAGGAGCACTACAACCCGTGGGACAGGTCGGGGGGGGCCCAAAATGAGGGGGGTCAGGGGGGCTCAGGTCCATGGATCACATTTGGGGGGGTAAAGAGAGGGGATATGGGGGGTCCTGAGGGGTCTGGGTCCCTTTGGGGGCTCAATAAATGGGTCTGGGGGGGGGTTTCATTTATCTGGGTTCCTTTGGGGTCCTAATGAAGGGGGTCTGGGGGTCCCGAGGGGCCTGGGTCTAATCGAGGTCTGAATTATTGGGGTCTGGGGGTCCTGAGGGTCCTGGGTCCTTTTGGGGTCTGAATAATTGGGGTCTGGGGGGTCTGAATATCTGGGGTCTGTGGGTCCCAAGGGTCAGCTGAGGACCCCCCCCATAACCTCGCCCCCCCCACAGCCAGCACCCCGAGTGCCCGCAGCGGCTGTCGCGCGCCCTACAACGGCTGTGGGATTTGGGGCTGACGCAGCGCTGCCTCCTGCTGCCCCCACAGCCCGCGCGGCCCCCCCAGCTGCGCGCCTGCCACACGTGAGCACCTCCCCCCTCCCCCAAAAAAGACCCGCACCCAAAAAAGACTTCCTCCATCCCACCCTAAAAGACCCTTCTTGTGTCCCAAACACCTCCTTTATGGCCCCGGAAATATTCTTTAGCACCCCCCCAAAATGCTTTAATAACCCCAAAATCACCTTTGTCACCCCAAAATCTCCTCATATGGCCCCAAAATCCCCTTTTCCTCCCCCCCCAGATCTCCTTATAAACTCCCCAAATCCCCATTGTCCCCCACAAAATTCCCTTTATTGCCCCAAT